TAGGCTGCTGTTGACATAACTTGGTTGTATGCTTTAAGTTCCGCATAAAATTGTATTTCAAAATTTATGTTTCGGTATCTTCTCAAAAAATTATCTTTCACTTTACAATATGCGGCACTTACAAATTGTAAAATATGTACAACCACGTTATGCAATAAACACTGTTTTGTTCCCGCGTTTCATGTCTAAGTCTGGCAATGCGAAATCTGGGTCAGGATCTGGAGATAAGAAGGGTTAATTGAGTATGGTAATAACGTTCGAGTATACTTAAGTTTACTTCCTAGCAGATGAAAAATGTAAGGAGGGTAAGGATGCAAAGTCTTCTGAAAAAACCACAAAACCAGCTGAGGCAGTAAAGAAACCTACAGAGGCAGTAAAAAAAGGTTAGACATAATAATATTTGAGCGAAATAGAAGGTAACTCCCCCATAGATACAGCGCCAAAAGAGGTTAAGGAGACGAAAATCACGCAGCCAAAAGACGAAACAGTTATAAGCGGCGGGTCAAAATGCCCGCCAAAAATCAATCCAGCTGCAGAAATCAGTAAAACTAAAAAGAAACTAAGAACATGTGATGAAATATTACTGGGTAAGGGTAATCAGAAGAAAAAGAAGCTCGCTCTGACGGCAATTCAAGGAGGAGACTTGGGCTGCCCCGGCAGAATTGATAAAAAACCACGTGAGTGTTTTTCTAAACTTATCGAACTATAAAAATTAACGTTGATCTGTCCAGCAATTGTTGCTAAGCACGCCAAGCGATGGCAGAAAATCTCGCTATTCGGAGTCCTGCCACTGATAGCCATCCTTAGTCTTTTGGTGTTCAGCACTCGGATAGAAGGGGATCGCCTGGAATTTAAGAACTATACCCACATGTACAAGCGATCGAAGCCCTTCTGGTTTCGAGATGGAAATCGCACAGCTTTTCACAACAGCCATCTGAATGCCTTCCCCCAGCAGGATATGAGGACGAGGTGGATGAAAGTGCCATTGGCAAGGATCCAGAGTCTGAGCCGGATAAAAAGGCTCGACTAAAAGAATTCGACAAAGTGGTCAAAAATTGGCGCAAGCATTCATCCAAAAGAGATGCCCAACTTAAGAAGGAGGCTGCTGCTGCAGAAAAGAGGCTAGAAGACAGGAAGCGCAATAAAAGCATACATTATTAAGGTCCTTGAAATTTAAGATCGTAAAATAATTATTAGGCGAGCAGATCGTAGTAGTTAGGAAGGCGAGGAAAAAAGAATAATCATATTGTCCACCTTAATAAAAACTGCCTGTCTATCTTTGATCTATGTCTAATATCATTAATATTTTATAGGGGAGTGTAGGGTTAGGGACGAACTCGTCAAATCTCACATGTGACGGCACGTCAACAATTTTAAATAACTAACGTCGATTTCCCTTATTGTGCCGACAATGTATTTACATTAATATTATTAAGAATTCGATTAATTTGTTTGTGAGACAATTTTGACTAAAAAAGTGGAGCAAAAATTAACAAACCTATTGAATTTATAGGGGTGTCAGCAGTGCCAGATCAAAGATTAATGGAAACCAAGTCGGACAAATATATACACGTATTAATAGATCTTCTGCAACAGTTCTGGGTACTTTGTGTTTTATTCTTTTCCGCCTTATCAAAGTGGCACCGTCATATTTCCAACACTACCTTGTAGGGTACGAACAATTTGTGAACAAGACTTTTAATATAATTTGTTCAATTTAAGCCAAGAACTATAGTAGACATTTTTTTTTAAGAAAAAAAAAATAATTTTCAAAATAATTTGCATGCAGTCAGCTTACTCTACTACTTTTAAAAGTAAAAAAAAATTTGGGCTCACGCCAAGAGCTGTAGTATTTAACTCATCTAGAATTTTACGATCAAACTTTTACAGGAATATGCCCAATAGATGTCAGCAACTTTCTGCTTTTAAACCTTTGAAAAATATCATTTTTGGAAAAGGGGCACTCAAAAAACGAATCTCTCGACACTATTCTCCCCTATTTATTTTATGGAACTGAAATAATAAAGCAAAGCAACAGAGAGCTTTAGGCTAGTTAACAGTTATTTAAACTTTGACTCTTAATCTGTTAATTATTAAAGGTATAAATTATACATACAGCGAATAGAAAAATCAATATGCATTGCTTAGGAGCTTAATTGGTAAAATATGTATTGTTTTTCTTAACCAATTGGCTGTTATATTGCCGACCCAATTACCAGGGCTATCTAAAATTCAGTTACCCTCGTCTTAATTTGTTCCCTTTTCCTTAAACATAAGCTGATTGGGAAAATGTTTTCGGAGTGGAAAATGTTTTCCTGTTCGTTTGTGCGGATGAATGATTGCCCTAACCAAATGGTAGCTGTGTGAATCGTGATTTGTCCTCGGCCTGTCTCTCCACTCGCCAATCTGTGCGATATTCTGGTGTTGCAATCAGCGCTATCTGCCATGCCACAAATCGCAGCCATTTTCGTAGGGCCTTCGCTTCCGGCCTTTTCGCTTCCCTTTCCGCATTTCGGCCATTTGTTTTTCCTGCTGTTTTTCCTCTAATGGCTTTCCTTTTTGCTACGCTGCGCTTCAATAACTTTTATCACTTTTAATTGGATTTTTCTTTATAGTCAACGCATGTCTTAGAAGACTAACACATGTTCAGATTGTAATTGTGTTAATGTCTTCGAAAGTGGGGGTGTATGCGTGGGCATGTCCTTTTTGGTCCTGTGACATCCTGCTAATACCAGTGCCCTCTATCTTGTGCATGTGTGTATATATATTCCTGATCAAATTTGCTTATTTTTCGCTGCCTTATTTTTCTTTCAATTTTCTTAATTGCTTCTCAATGCTCAAGCCATCAGGCCGTAACTTGGCTCTTTAACTGATTTTATTTAGCTTATTAAAAGTTGATTTCGTAAGCTTTGAAGGTGATGAAGGTATGTAAAATTAGTTCAGTTGTTTATGTTTCCGTAGACAACTATTAGGGAAAAATGTATTTTTAAGGAATTTTTTTTATTTGTTTAAAATTCTGCAACTGGTTGAGAACGCTAATATATAGTGCCATGGTAATCTATCATATTTTCTTTTGTCATTCTACAAATTGTATAGATAAGGTTGGACATTAATATATAATAATTATTACTAGCCCTTCAGACTTCATTTATTTCTTAGTTAATACGTTTAAAAGCCATAGGCTTTGTTAAAATAGCTCTGATTGATTTAATTTTTGCACGCCAAGAATAATAATTACTTCTTAGATATATCAAGTGAAAGTTTCCAATTCCGCTGGCCCAAGGACAGGGCCAACTCATGTGCTTATGCGAAAGCCAGACCAAGTCCTGAAAGTCGGGCCAACTTTTGCCGTTCCGGTCGTCGTTGACACGTAATTGACTTTGTCCGCACTTCCACGAGGACAATTTGTGCGCCACTTGCTCGGACCAATTAAACGCCATCGATGACCAATTGCAGTTGTCGCGAAATTGCTCGGAAAGATTGCCCAACGTAATGGCGGCAGATGGGCGGAGCGGACCCAAAGGACCCAAAGGATGTGCAGCGGAGTGTAATCAATGCATAATTTTAATGCAATTCTTGAATGCAATTACTGGCGAATACGCTTTTGGCTATAAAAGCCAGGGACGGCGCACCAGCGACCAGTGACCGAAAAAGTACGTCGGGAAGTGCAAAAGCGAAGGGACCGCAACTCGTTAATATTCGGAGTGATGAAAGTTCAAGTTTTCCGCTGGCTCCCCGTGCTATTTCTCCTGCTGGTCAGGACGGGGCCACGTGTCGCTGGCAGCTGGCGGAGCGAGAACTCCCGGGAGGATCCGGACTCGAAAACACGGTGGGGCAATCAGTTGCCGGATATGCTAGTCGCTTACTATCGCCACCACGGCGTTCACAGCCTGATGCTGGTCGTTTGTCACACGGACATTGGTGAATTAACCCTCTGCATGCAATGTGCTCTCGGGCCAAATTTATGACCCGACAACACACAGACAAAAATCCCTGGGGGTTTCAGAAAGCTTTACAAACTAATGGAATTTACTGCCTACCACCGAAAGGAAGCAATTAATATTCCATTAAATCGTTAACTTATCAATTTGATATAAACTATATTGCAGCCTTCTTTTTAGACAACTTCATAGGTGGTTTGAAACATCTAAAGCAACTTTAAAATCGTTTTGAAAGCTGCCTTAAATTTAATTTAATATTTTAATGAATAATATCTACTGTCAAATTCTTAACTTTATATCTCACATTAGAATTTTGCCTTGCTTTTTTTTACTGTATCTCTGTTTTTCCCCTTCAGCGGACTCCCGCGTTTGGACGCTGTGGCAGCACTTCAACCTCAACGATTTCTATGTGCAGGTCAGTACGGCGACCTCGCTAAGGGACCTGCGACATGTCGATGTCCTGGATGAGCAGAAGGACGCACCACCGCCGAAGAGTTTCCATGCCAACAACTCCACCCATTGGGACACGTCCTTTCTACTCCCCATGTTGTCCTACAAAATGGGAATCCTCTTCCTGGAATTCAGCAGCGACTGTGCACTCAATCTACTTCGTTGGTCTGCCGCCTCGGAGCACAATTACTTCACCACCAATCGGTTCTGGCTGCTCCTTACCGAGGATCTAGCAGAGATCGATTTGCTAGAGGATCCCGAAATATTTATTCCTCCGGACAGTGAGTTAAGGGTGCTTCACTATGAAAACGAAGGCAACTTCTCGTCCAGCCTGATCGATCTCTACAAAGTGGCTGCTTGGAAACCTTTAAAGAAAACTTTGGTGGGACATAATATTCGGAATCCGAGGCACATGGTTCACGCCCTGCAGCGCTTTGGATCGGCCATAACTTATCGGCAAAATCTGGAAGGGATTGTCTTCAACTCGGCCATAGTTATTGCCTTTCCAGATCTTTTACAACAATCGAAGATTTGTCGCTGAGGCACATTGATACCATATCAAAGGTTAATCATCGCTTGATGCTGGAACTGGCCAATCGCCTGAATATGAGGTATGGCAAGAACTTCTTGGTATATTCATATTTTAGATGAGAAATTGAAATGTACATATGTTTGTATTTTGGGGATCAACTCTTTCTTTGAGATCTTCAAATGAGATCTATTTTACATTATCAAATTGTCATAACTAATCTTGGGTCAGATGTGGTTAAAGACTTGCTTGGTAATTAAGCTGACAAAGCCTTTTCTAAAAGGACTGTTTATTCGGAAGATCATTGTATATTAACGCCCAGACGTATGCAACTATAATTATCACAATCTCTATCAAAGTCAACAACAAGCGAAAGCTTTTAGCTGGGTCCGGAACATCTTATTCCTGCTCCGATCAGCTGACAATGATTACACCACACCCAGTTTTGTTTTCTTCTGGTCCAAGCCGGCTTAGCTCGCCAAGTGCTCTAAGTTTTCCCTGATTTTCGGCAGTATTATCTAGAGTTCATCACAAAAAATTGACCAAGGAAAAGAACAGATTACCGAAGACTAAGTTTCCGGTACAAATGGTGTGTGTGTGTGGACCCCCCAGCTGATTGAACTCTGTTTTCAGGTGCCTAGGAAAGTGATCCAATTCCGCGGCATTTCAGTGAGTTCCCATCCCTGAATTTTTACGTTTAGTTTCAGTTTCTAACCTGTTCCGATTCCATTTCCATTTCAAGTTTCTCAGTGAAGTGAATCAGATAGTCCAGATAGTCAGATTAAAAAATGGGGAACCCCACCAATATCTTGGATTTACCATTGGAGATATTGGATTTCATTTTCAATAAGCTAACCCTTGAAAATAAGATAAAGCTGGGCCTAGCTGATAATAAATTGGGAGCGGCATTTGCCTATCATAGTCGAAATGAATATAAAAAAATTTCATCTCGGAATTTACCACTTGAGAATTGGTCTGACTTCTTGTCGATTTGTGGCTCAATTGTTGACGAAGTGAACGTTAGCAACTTAGACGTTCAATATTTAAAATTGATAGAGCAACATTGCTGTAATCTTAAGATCATAAGCAACCTCTACGTGACAGATAACAAATGCTCTGCGACTAAAAACTTGATCCGCGGTGTAAGAAGTCTAACGTCTCTGGAAATAAGGATTACTAATGATGCCACAGCAGAAGTAGTTCTTGCTTTGCAAGAACTTCCAAATTTAAAAATATTAAATATTCAATATTTGGGAGAAGATCATGGTAAGTCCTATATTGGATAATGGATTCTTCTGTTAATTAATGTCTTTTGCAGATGATCGTTCATCGGGAACTTTAAAGCACCCATCGAGCTTGGATCTAGGTGAGTTCTTTTCTTCAGACCTAGTGCTCGTGTAATTGAAAATTATACTTCTCCATTTTAGCTGAGGTACACCAATTGATCAATTTAGAAGAGTTGACAATAGGCGCGACACTCTGGCCTATGTCACTTAACATTATGGATCTTCCATCCAAGTTAAAAATGCTTCGGTTCCTAACATTAACCAATTTAACAATTAGCTCACCAATTGAAAAAGTAGATTTTATTTGTCCATCCCTAGAAGAGCTTGTCATTACACATTCACAAATTGAATTTGAGTTGCCATACTGCCCAAAGCTTCGTTCTCTGAAGGCATTACATTCAAAATATGTTTCGAATAACCTCAAATGGCTTTCAGAGCACACAAAAACTTTGGAAATACTTCAAGCAGATGGGAACATCTTTCAGAAAAATATTTTAAACAGTATATTTTTATCGAATAACTTTAAGACATGGGAGTTTCCAAATATCCAAGAATTAGGTATTAATGATTCCGAAATTAAATTCCCATTGCCATTTTGTCCAAAATTAAAGTCATTGGAACTAAAATCCACTTGCTTTTTTTCAATGAACTTTTTCTTCAAATGGATTTCAAAACACGGAAGAACATTACATAAGCTAAAAATAGGCTTTGAGTTATTCAAGGACAATTGTCGGTTGACTAAACTTTTAAAAATTCAGAGTCAACAATGGACATTACCTTCGTTGAAAGATCTCGAAATTTCCTTTCTCCGAATGTCGTTCGGTTTACCATATTGTCCAAACCTTCTGTATTTGAATGTGAAGCATGTTGAATGCCACTCAATGGATTACTTTTACATCTGGCTTTTAAAACATGCGAATAATTTGCAAAGCATCGAATTGACCGAAGAACTACTTGAAGAATCTGAATTTCTTAAATTTCTCTCAAGATGCAAACAAATCAAAAAATGTAGCATTCCCATCTTTTCGAGAAAAATTTCGTTCGAATTTCTTAATTCATTTATAAAGATATTAAAAAAAAGTGGAGTCTCGTCAAAAGATCCATTCGAAATTACTGTTTCTTCAAATGAATTTCGGCAAATAAATCGTATGGTAAGTGTTGGGTAACTTTTATTCTTCATTATTAAAAGAACTGATTTTCCAGATCGCTGAATTTCCAAACTCCGAAATTTGTAAATGCCTGGAAAGACACAATGACTATGGCGATCTTGAAACGGATATTTTTAATGATGAAGCTATAAACGATATAACTAACCTAATTTTAAATGCAATTCAGATATAATTTTAAAATTATACATCAATAATTCATTTTACTTAAGTCTTTTTTGGGACAATTTCATACGGTAAGAAGCTTATGTAGAAAAAAATTTTATCGGTTAAATTTATAATATAAATATAAATGTTACAAATATGCAATCTATATTGGGAATATTGTTAAGTTAATTTAAAATAACTTGTATCACGCTTAATTTTTCTCATTAGTAAACCGCAGCAATTTGGACGCTACCTATTAAAGCGTGTAAAAATTTAAACAATTCCAAATGTCCAAATGATGGACAATCTTCTATTTCAGCTATAATACTTATCAAACCGTCAACTATGGATGGAGACAACCAAATGGCTCCTTCGATGGCCTTATGGGACGTTTTCAGCGCTATGAATTGGACTTGGCGCAGCTAGCGATCTTCATGAGATTGGATCGCATCGCTTTAGTTGATTTTGTTGCTGAGACTTATCGAGTGAGAGCTGGAATTATGTTCAGACAACCACCACTTTCGGCGGTGGCCAATATATTTGCCATGCCATTTGAGAACGATGTGTGGGCTTCGATATTACTGCTCCTGATTATAACGACCGTGGTTTTGGCTCTAGAACTGCTATTCTCCCCACACACCCACGATATGGCATACATGGATACCCTAAACTTTGTTTGGGGGGCAATGTGTCAGCAGGGCTTCTATGTGGAGGTGCGGAATCGGTCGGCGAGAATTATTGTCTTTACCACTTTCGTGGCAGCTCTATTTTTGTTTACCTCATTTTCGGCAAATATTGTTGCTCTGCTGCAAAGTCCCTCGGATGCCATCCGCTCCTTATCCGATCTTGGTCAATCTCCTCTAGAAATTGGCGTTCAGGATACCCAATATAATAAAATATACTTTACGGAATCCACCGACCCTGTGACCAAGAACCTTTATCATAAAAAGATCGCCTCCAAGGGAGATAATGTCTATATACGACCGATTTTAGGTATGGAAAAAATGCGAACGGGGTTATTTGCTTATCAGGTGGAGCTCCAGGCAGGTTACCAAATTGTCAGCGACACTTTCAGTGAGCCAGAAAAGTGTGGATTAATGGAGCTAGAGCCTTTCCAACTGCCCATGCTGGCTATTCCTACGAGGAAGAACTTTCCCTATAAGGAGCTCATTCGAAGACAGTAAGATTTCCGACCAGGGTGTCACAAAAATCTCATGCAACTAAATTCGTTTGGAATCGAACCGCATAGGAAAACTAATTTTTACCGACTTTGGTTGCACGGGATTTATGTGGCACCATTATAAGTTCATTTCACAAATATGTATTAAAAAGTGCAATATAATAAATTTTCCTCATTTAGAATCCCTTGAACATAGAAAGAAAAAAATAAAGAAAAACCATGTAATTAATAAAATACTTTATTTTTCCCTATAGATTACGGTGGCAGCGAGAGGTGAGCTTGGTGAACCGCGAGGAGCGAAAGTGGATTCCCCAGAAGCCCAAGTGCGAGGGCGGTGTAGGAGGCTTCGTCTCCATAGGCATAACCGAGTGCCGATATGCTTTGGGAATCTTTGGCTGCGGAGCTGCCGCCAGTTTTGGCCTATTCCTTTTCGAGTTTATCTTCAAGCACTTCAAACAAGTTTATCGCATAATGAAAGGATATCAAGAGATGAAGCGCTAGGCTGCACACATTTAATCAAAATAGACTTTACGCTTAGATGGGTATGGATAGTTCTCGCACAACGGCACGAAGTACTTCCGGAGTTTTGAACTGCCAATTCTGAATATTCTTGCTGACTCGACACCAGGATTCGCCATGCGTGGGTTCTGCGGAAATGCAACGATCGAGGACCTCCTGTTGCTGTGACTCCGTGCCGTGTAGCAACTCGAATTTGTAGAAATACGCCCAGGCGTCACCCAAATCAGGATCGATCTTGACCTGAAATAAATGATTGTATAGTTTGAAATATATTTATTTCTACTCAATTACTACTCAGTAGTCATTATCATAAACTTACCGTTCGGTTAAACCAATCTCTGCACTTGGAGAACTTGTGCTCCGACCAGAAAAGTTTAGAAACGGCCAACAGAACATGTGGGTCATGTTCGCATTTCTTGAGGGCATCCACAGACTTGGTCTTTCGCTGAGGCTTAGTTTCCATGAAGATGGCCTCCGCCCATAGTTCGCCGGCATTAGGACATTCCTGCAGTGCTCTGGCCATCATGGTACTGGCAATCTCCTTGAGACCCGCTCGCAATTCCACTCTAATGGCCTCCAGCCAGAGAACAGCCACCTTAGGATTGCGCAAACGACCCCGTTCTAAAATGGAACGGGCCTTTGTCAGCACTCCTTTGCGCTCTTCCAGGTTAGCGGATAAAATCCACAGTGGGATGGATGTGGGGCACTTTTTCAGACCCTGAGTGTAAGTGACAGCCGCATCATCCGTTCGTCGCTGTTGCTCCTCTATTTGACCTTTCATCATCCAAAGCTTTGGGAAATCTGGGAACACTTCCACTGCTTCTTCTAGCAGCCGTAGCGCTTCGTCAAATCTCTCTAAAGCCCATTCCAGGCGAGCTGACTTCATCATCACCCTAGGCGTGGGCGCAGAGCCTCTAGCCTTGGCCAACAAACGTCTCGCACGCTCATATTCCGAGTTCTCAGATTCCAACTTGACGGCTGCCAACCAAATGTCTTCGGAATTAGGATTGGCCTGGAAGGCCAGGGAGAGAATACCTCTTGCCGCTGGAACGTCTCCAGCCATCCACTTGGATTTTGCTCCCATCAACCAGAGGATTTCCGATTTAGGGCAATGGGCTACAGCTCGCTGCAACAAGGCCTCTAGGGATTCGCGAGTGCCATGGTTTTTCTCAAAGTAGGCGGCTCTTAACCAGATGCTCTTTTTGGAGGGGAAAATCTGTAGGGCATGAGCATAGACAGCACGAGCACACTCAAAAGCATTTTCCTTGGCGCACTGAAAGGGTAAAAGACAATTAAAAAAATAAATTTATTAATTTTAAGTCATCAAAGGCAAACATCTTTTCAATACTTACAAAGTCCGCATCATCGATCCAGGTCTGCTTGCGATCCTCTTCCTCCACTCCTATTCCGATGACGGCCTTCACAATTGATTGACAACAGTTAACTGCTCCCGATTTCTCCGCCTCAATGGCCTCCTGGAACCAGTGATCCCTGTTGATTTCCACCCCGTTGACAGTCAGAGACGTCAACGATCGATCGATGATCTTTTCCACCATGTGAATGTTACCATTGGCCTCCTCCAATTTAGCAGCCGTGGTCCAAATCTGGCGATCCGTGGGTATATTCTCACGAGCCTTGTTCAGCACCTTTCTGGCATTCTCATAGGTTTCCAAACGCGCGAGGGCCAACCAAAGTTCAACGCTGGTGTTGCAACACTCTACAGCGCGGGACAGTAGGATTCGTGCATCATCGGGATTCTCCAGCTCCACAGCAGCTTTCCATAGGCGAACTGAGTTCGGGATGTGTTCTAGAGCTTTTCTAAAAACCCTACGTTTGGCTTTCGTTTCCGATTCCAAGTCAGCCGCTTTAATCCAGATCCTAACTGAGGTCGGAATATGACGAGCAGCTTGCGCTATCACCGCTTTGGCTGTATCTGGCGGCTGAAGGCGTGCTGCCTCCAGCCAGAGATCCTCGGACTGGATATTCATCTCGCAGCCCCTCATGATCAGGTTCCTGGCCATCTGAACCTTTCCAGTGACTTCCTCCAAACGAGCAGAGGCAATCCAAGCGGGTGGATGATTGGGGTTCGTTTCCCTGACACTCTTAAGCAGCAAGCGAGCCTTTTTGATGTCGTTAATGTCACCGCCATAGGTGGGAATCATGCTCTGCAGGTCGGTGAGGTAACCCTTAGGATCCACCACCGTTTGACCAGTCACGGAATCAGAAACCTGGGACAGCTTGACGTTCATAAGCGTGTTACGGGCCTGACCGATCTTCCGCAGATCCAGATCTCCCGTGGGGGTCAACATGCCCGGAGTGGCTACACCAGGCACCATGGAGGCCAAACCCGAGGACGGATCCAACGTGGAGGACGACTCGCCGCCAAGGTTTCTCGATATTAAGCTGTCTGGCAAGGGGGTAAACTTTTCGGCCCTGGGGTTTCTTTGCTTTCTGTTGCGACTATCGCCCACTTCCGGAATAGTAGACCACTCTTCCGATGTGACGCTGGCCAACGAACGTTTGAGGTCACTGAACTGCTGCTGGATCTTCGGTCGCTCCTGGCGATACCGCTCCAAATCCTCTCGCAACCGCCGATCACGATACTCCTTGCGCTTTTCATCCATTCGCTTGTCTATCGAATCGTAGATGGCGTCCGCCTCCTCGTCATCCTTGTCGTAGGGATCCTTTGAGAATAGGGAGCCACTGTAACCACTAAACTCGTCGTAGTTCGAGTCGTTCAAGTCTTCGTCCTCCTCCTCCTCTTCGTCCTTCTTTTACGTTTGGTAGCCGGCGGGGCATGGCGATCGTCGGAAACGTCGTTGGCATCACGGGCGGGACCAATATCGGACCGGGTGGTGAATCCCGTGGCTCTGAAATAGCAAAGATACCATTTAAATCGAGTTTTCGTACGTAAGAAGTGCATTCGATGATAGTCACCCTCGACCAACGCCGGCCACATAGCCCAGAGGAGCTGGAACGCCCAGGAAATGCTTCTTGTTGCGGTTAGCTATTACAGCTGCCGTAATGTTGGACATGTTGAAGTACTTCTAAATCAATTTCTACAACTTTATTTAATTAACAATTAATATGTTCTTGCTTTTGGTACGTTTGTTTTGGACGTTTCTGCTCAGTTCAGAATTTTGTGTGTGTGTGCATCTTCTGGCATCTCTGACACTTACGTTGCCTTACGTTTTGTCGACACTTACGTTGCCTTACGTTTTGCCGACACTTACGTTCGCATCTTGCATCTCCCTTTTTCACTGACACTTACGCTGAGGCTGTCTCTCTTTTTCACTGACACTTACGTTTGACGTAAAACTGAAAGCGTGGTTAGTGATGCAAGCAACATCAAACATCGGTAAGCCGATAACAGCCAAACTATCGATATCGTCAAAATTAACCGGGAGGTTGTCCGGGTTGTCCGCTTATCATGGCAGACAAAACGAGTTCTTTAGGCGATAATGCGATAATGGCAAGGTGCACATGTGTAAATTATATAGTCTGTCCCCCGACTCACTTCGACTCCGGTCGCGCCAACGCACTTATTCGAAAATCGTGTCAGTAACAGCTCTCTCTTTCTCTCTAATTTAAACGGCCTAGCTGCCGTCGTCGAATTTTTTTCTGGCTATGAATTGCTGATGAATTTTTCGTTGAGGTCAGCCTAGCTGCCGTCATTGATGAATTGTTGATGAAATATTCAGTGACTACCGTCTTACAACGTTTTTGCGTGCCATTAAAAACCTAGCTGCTGTCACCAATAAATTGTCTATGTCCATTTTTGACAATGCATTTTTGATGAAGGCTTAGCTTTTGTCATCGATGAATTGTTGATGAACTTTTCTCTCAGGACAACCTAGCTGGAGTCATCGATGAATTGTTAATGAATACTTAATAAATCTAAAAGAAAGGAAGCTAACTTCGGCAACCCAAAGTTTATATACTCTTGCAGGTCGTTCGTAAAGAGCATACCGATTTTTAGAAAATTAGAGTTATAATGCTTGGCTCATACACTACATCGGAGTTTATTTGGTGAACAAATTAAATAACCGTATGCGAAGGTCAGTCGGTCTTGTGATAGTTCTGGAGGCGTCTCTGCTGGCCCACAAAAGTCCCTATTAAATTTTCACTTAGCTTTCCTAAATTGAAATCTCATCCATGATCAATTTACTAAAAGCAATGAAGAAATCATTTGGCGCTGACAACATTCCACATTCAATTAGCACCTCCTTTTTGTTCGCATACGGTTCGCTTATGCCAATCAGCTGTTTTTGCTTAAGAGATGCCAATGTGAACAAAATTCAGCTTGAAATTGCAACGCAAACACGCAGCTATAGTGTAAGCGTGCTATAACCATTTATCGATTAGCAAAAATACTGCAACTCGATACCAATCTCTAGTTTGTACCGGTTATCGGTGCAAAAAAATCTCAAATCGGAAAATTATTTCACATATAAACAATAACTTGGCAGAATTGGTGCATTTCTCTTGAATTTTCGTAAAAAAAAAACGCAGGATGCCCGTGCTGCCGATGCCTCCTCTTATGCAGGTAAATGACACCCGTATCCCACTATCTAGGGGAGTGCAATCAGCAAAAATTGTGTATTTCTTGAACAATAGAACGCCGTGGAGCCGATGCAAGTGGATGCACCGAACGAGGACAATGAGAACAACGAGGAGCAGCAGATTGTGGTGGAGAATCCCAGCATCGATCTCGAGGTGTACGCCAACCAATATGCCGGGATCGTGCGACTTCATCGCTTGATTTATGTGGCCGACGTCTGCCCGGTTCTGGCGGTGGAGGCACTGAAAATGGCCATCACTTACGTTCAGACCACCTACAACGTCAATCTGTACCAGGTGCTGCACAAGCGTTTGAGTGACCTGAATGCCGGGAACGCCCCAGCTCCGCCGGCGAATGCTGGCGGAGATCAGGGAGCAGCTGCAGGTCCTGCCGGTGTCCCAGCCGCTGCACCTCTTCCGGATATCGCAGCTCAACCTGTGGCCCAGGCTCAGGGACAGGCTCAGCCTGCTGGCGAGAAGGATGCCTTCGCTTACGACGCCGGGTGGGTAGACACCAAGATGAAGAAGGCGGCCCTAAAGCTGGAGAAGCTGGACTCTGACCTTAAGAACTACAAGTCCAATTCCATCAAGGAGAGCATTCGTCGGGGTCACGATGACCTGGCTGACCACTACCTTAGTTGTGGTGACCTCACCAATGCTCTGAAATGCTATTCCCGGGCCAGAGATTACTGCACCAGTGGCAAGCATGTGGTGAACATGTGCCTGAACGTAATCAAGGTTTCCATTTATCTTCAGAACTGGGCTCATGTCATGAGCTACATATCCAAGGCAGAAAGCACTCCGGACTTTGCCGAGGGCTCCAAGGAGGCCAATGCCCAGGTGCATACCCGACTGGAATGCGCTGCTGGTTTGGCGGAACTGCAGCAGAAAAAGTACAAAGTGGCCGCCAAGCATTTTCTCAATGCCAACTTCGATCACTGCGACTTTCCCGAGATGATCTCCACCAGCAATGTGGCGGTTTATGGTGGCCTTTGCGCCCTGGCCACCTTTGATCGGCCGGAGCTTAAGCGCCTGGTTATCGCTTCCACATCCTTCAAACTCTTCTTAGAACTTGAGCCTCAACTAAGGGATATTATATTCAAGTTCTACGAAAGCAAGTACGCCTCCTGTTTGACCCTATTGGATGAGATCAGGGACAATCTGCTGGTGGACATGTACATTGCGCCCCATGTGACCACTTTGTACACTAAAATACGTAATCGCGCTCTTATCCAGTACTTTAGCCCCTACATGTCGGCAGATATGCACAAAATGGCAATGGCCTTTAACTCATCGGTGGGCGATTTGGAGAACGAGGTGATGCAGTTGATATTGGACGGGCAGATCCAGGCGCGCATCGATTCGCACAACAAGATCCTGTACGCCAAGGAGGCCGATCAAAGGAATAGCACCTTTGAGAGGGCTTTGATCATGGGCAAGCAGTACCAGCGTCATACCAGGATGCTCGTCCTCCGGGCGGCGATGCTCAAAAGCCATATCCACGTGAAGAACGTTTCCAGAGAGGGCAGTAGCAGCCACGGCGCCGAACTCTGCGTCTCTGCTGGGTCCTCTACAACTGCTCAGCTAGCCAGAATTTAGGACAGCACTTAATACCCGATGAACTATATATATTACACACTGGCTAAATAAAGATATAGCAAAGCTAAATAAGAAAAGGAGTACCGAAATTTTATTAAAATTGTTCTTTTGTTTACTTGATTAATTTGCAAAATTTAACTTATAGAACGTTGTAGTTCAAGTTAAACAACATTTAAAAAATTGTATGATATAAAATGTTAGAATTTATTGGTGTGTTATTACAAAGATAATACTATCGTCTGGAGTACTCCTTGCGCTCGCTTTCCCGCCTTCTGTCTTTACTGGCGGACCGGGACCGATTTCTAGAGCGGGATTTAACTCTGCGATGTCTACTTTCATCTCTTCGTCGTTGGTGGGTGTGCTCCGAGTCCCTAGACCTTTGATGACCACTTCTTTTGTCTTCCTTATGATTACTTTTGTGGTTGTCCTCGGAATCGCTGCTACTCGAGGAAGAAGAGGAGTCTGAACTGTCGCTAACTGAAGATTTCCTTTCTTTTCTGCCTGATTTTTCTTTCTTAGATTTCTTTTTCTTGTTGTCCTTATCCTCTTTTTGCCTTTTCGATTTTTTCTTGGATGGTTTTTTGATACTCTCGCCCTTGCGCTTCATTCGTTCAATCTTCTCTAGTTTCTTGAGCAGCTTTAGCTTTTGTTTCTTGGACAGCGATTTGAGGAATACAAGCTCTGGGTTTTGCTGATTGGCGTTGGCCTCCTCTTCGCCGTCGCTCGGCACCAGCTGGTGCTGCTGCTGGATGGTCTTGATACTCTGAAGCTCCAGCGCCGATCGCTTCATCATGAGGCCATCCTCCTTCATCTGCTCTTCCAGCACGTTCTTGGCCATGATGTCGCTGGCCTCAGTTTCCGCATGTAGTTTGCGAGCCTCGCTCATCGAAATGCTGTACATGGTGCACTCCTTGTCCGTGTTAATGTGGCCCCATTTGTGGCATTTGAGGCAACGCACGTTACGCACTTGGATGCCAAAAGGCTGGTCCCGGATCTCGGTGTCGCCCTTGCAGTACGACTCCCTGGGAGCGTTGTACTTTCTCTGCCACTCAAACTTGTACTCCGGCTCGTTGTCGTCCTTTTCGCGCTCCTTTCGCACTCCCGGTGGTGGTTCGTACATGAAATTCACGCTCAACTTGTCCTTGCTGTCCTTGCTGAGCATCGCCTTGTTCTCGTGCAGATTCTGCTCCTTCTCGTACTGGTTGCGCAGCTCCTCCTGCTTCTTCTTGTACGCCTCCGCCTGCTGCTCCGCCATCCACACCTGCAAAAGGATATGACTACATTGTAAGGCTCCATTCTTGCGAAGTATGTACAGTGGGTCAGTTTGCCCAAACCACTTTTTTCAAAACTTTAGACGCCCATTAAAACTGAAGAAAACATGTTATTCTACTAATTTAAACGCAAGATACATCTATAGTTATGAAAATAAGTATTTAATGATTTTGTGGTTGTTTAAATAATACATAATTAACTTTTTTGAGTTATTTTCAAAAATTTATGAAATAATTAAATAGTCAGGTTATTATAGAAGTGTTCGCTGTTTTTATTCTTTTGATATTTGTTCAGTATTTATGGGTTGTTCAAGATTTCAAGAGATAAGTGGTTCAAGTAAGAAGTAACCCACTGTATATAATTATGTTTTTTTATCAGGACCTGGATCCACTTACCCTCTTGAGATTGTCTCTGGAGGCGGGGTGGAAGAATTTCTTACACATGTAGTTGTTGAAGCCCTTGCCCATCTTGCAGTTTTGTGTTATTAGCTATTAATGGTATACAAATTGAGGATTTCGCTATTTTTCTAAATATTTTCAGCTGCGTTGTTTTTATATGTACTATTGATGGGAAAATACCTTTATTTACATCGATGTTCTATATTTTTATATCGATGTTGTCGATAAATTTATATTACTGAAGCAGTGTTGAGAAATTTGTGCAGCCAGAGATGACCACACAAAACCGTGCTTGCAAACGATACATCGTTGGTTGCCACAGGGTCTACCTACAATTTTTGAATATTGCGTTCCTTAAAATATTAGTAACAAATAATTCAACGATTCTACATTTATTTAGACATTTTGTAAATATTTGTGTATTTTATATTAGGTAATGTCTATTGTATGAAATTTTATTTAGCTTGCAAAGAATTAAAAAAAATATTCGGATTTGAAGGTTGGCACGAATATGTCCTAGAATAAAAGTCACAAAAAAGTCTGAAACTATCGGTTGTTTTAGTAGTAATACCAATACTGTTTTACCCCGTTATAGTGCTGCCCAACACTCAAGCTGTCGGGAAATCTGAAACTTGGATCTTCTCTTTTATTCTTTTTTTTCATATCAAACAATTAATATAAAACGATGGAGAGCTATGACGAATCTCAAATGGTTTACTGCCCGTACAATAAGGAGCACAAAATGCTGCGCAAGAAACTCCAGCAGCACATCCTGAAATGCCGTGTGATCTACAAAGACACGGTGGAACTGATGGTTTGTCCCTTCAACAAGGGGCATCTAATTCCGGAGCCCGAGTTTTTTGTGAGTAAAATTATAAGACTTACTGAATTCCACTTAACTTCTGAACACCAAACAGCAACACACCAAATCGTGTGAGGATCGGAAGATTATAGTGCACTATCAGACGAGTGCACCTGCTGTTCTGAACGAAGACACCAGACACGCCAAGATCGAGTGCGAAGAAAACTGGGACGACGATGATGTTCCCGACTACGATCCGCAGGTCTATTGCTCCACGGCCAACATAGTGAGGGAACCGAATGGATTGTTTCCCTCACAGCGAAAGGCTTTTATCAAGGAGGAGAATCGTCGTCAGTTTGGCGAGGATTACAAGGAGGAGAAGCCCCCAAAGGCTAAGAAACGCGCGGACACTCGTCCCGCGCCCTATGAAGCGTGGACGCCATACTCAAGGCGTCAGTAGTTGGAATATATATATATGTTCCCATCGAACAAAAGCCAAAGTATTTTTAGAGGCTTTAACTGAGCTCACAAATTCAGGAAACCAAGGGTTCACATTTTAAAATACCTATTTAGATTTTGCTCTTAAATAAGTATGGTTTCTCTTTGAGTTGAGCAGTAATATACAAAAATGTATGGCGATTAATAATACAATTCTTAAAATCAAGAATTACACATATCAGTCAGAAGCCAAATCTAATTTCATTCACATTAAGGTTTAGTTGAGATGCTTTTGAAACGCAATGTCGAATTCTTTATGGTTACAAAAAAAGTTATATATAAATATAAACTATTTGTTGAAAATAAAACAAGTGCCTTCTCTCCAACAAATATAAAAAATTGAAATACATTTTCCGACTTTTATTTCCCATTTTAAAATTAATAATTTGTGTTGCTTTGCCTACATAACGGAATAACCACTTCTCATAACACCATATTCCCATGTTTGTAAGGGGTTTTCAGGGATCAGAACTTTTTTGTAAATACTTTTCAGAAAAAAATGTTTGCTAAATCTGTGTGTTTCAATTAAACTCATATAGCAAATATGCTTTCATAATGGTGTACACTGTACACACAGATATGGGATTTAAAGATTATTTGGTCAATAAGAAAAATATCCTTGCAGAGTAACAAAAAATTTTGTCGGAAATGTACAACGAAGTGAATCATTTCGATTTCGATCATTTAAATTTTCGGTCGTAAAATTGCAGATTGTCGAGTAGAATAGTCAGTAATATATATACATAGTATACATTCGATGTTTTGATCATGTTCCCTTCTACAGTGTACTTTATTTTTAAATCCATTAGGAACTTGGTTTTTTATAAATCGGACGGAAGTCATATAGCTGCAGAAATTCTATACTCATCGCAATAAATAAAAAATGAATAACAAAAGTACGTGTGCCTATCGTTCTCTTCACATTGCTGTTTAACATGTGACCACCAACATCACAGTAATGTTTGGAATAAATTGTTTATCACTTCGATGGAGATGTAGTACAAGTACCAAGGATTTAACTCTTACCCTACCGTATTTTTTTTAATTTCCTATTTGACTACCTTTTAACCTGGTTTGATTTATTATTTTGCCAACAATTTCGAATCGTGTTGTAAACCAAAATATTATATTCTTGGTCAGAATAACCATGCATATCACTTTTGAAGTGTTTAGTTATAAATTCATAAAAAGTACTTAATTGAATTTTAATAACATTATCTAAATTCAAAATATTAAGTTAAATTGTTTGAGAATGCTATCAATCAAATAAACAAAACCCGTACAGCAATACAATAAACCACGAGTTGCGCCGGCATTTTGAAATGTTTTAGAATCCTAATCACAACCTTGAGCAATTCATTCAAAGAAATTCAGGAAACTAAAAATCCGAACTTGGTAAGACTCGAAATCCAACAAATCAATAATGATCGTAATCTAAACCACATGCATTCATAGAAGCTCAAAAGTTATCCAGTTCAGATAGATCCCTAAGTGCGCATTTAAAACTTGATCCATTTAAGGAAAACACCAACATAGTCCATTTGCGAGAATCAACGTTTCTTTATTGTAAAGAATGGCGCCGTTTCCACACGCGATTTTTAAGATGTTTTGTTTTTTACACTAAGCGTTACGGTAAAAACAGTAAACAGCGACGTCCCAGGGTTCCAGCGAAGAGTCTCAGCCGGCGATTTACGCGGTCTCCATGGGCTGGGCGGCGGTCTCCTCGGTGTACTTGCCCTTGTCCTTGCCGAGAGCGGCCAGACGACCCTTGCCGCGGCGCTCCAGGATGGCCTTGCGGTCCTTGTCGAGCTTCAGCTTGACGATCAGCACCTTGCTGGGATGGATGCCCACGTAGACGTTGGTGCCGTTGGCGTTCTCGCGCTGGATCTTCTCGATGTAGACGACGAACTTCTTGCGGTACGACTGCACCACCTTGCCCACCTGGTTGCCCTTGAAGTGGCCGCGGATCACCTGCACCTCGTCGTCCCGGCGGATGGGCATGGAGCGCACGTTGTACTTCTGGCGCAGCTCCTTGGACAGGGGCGCGGACATGAGGCGCCGGCGGATGTGGGAGGGCGCCTGGAAGTGGCGCTTGCGGTTCTTCCTGCGCGACGACGAC